AAAAGCGAGTGGCATGCATATTTAGTGGAAGCAAGGCTTCGCTCTTAATTTAGAGAACGCTCTCAAGCTGTTCAATGCTATTTGAAACTAACAGATTGTTCTAACCAATATTCATAATTGAGAAAAAGAATATTCATACTATAGAACTAACTTGGTCAGTTATTATGATTGCATACACTCGAGAATCAGACATCTGAATGAGTTTTGAAAGAAAGTATTATTTATTTAACATACAATATCAAAATGTATATTGATAAAAGCCATGTTCTGATAAGAGAAGTCATTGCTTTCTACTTAGCTGAAATTTTTTTTCAGAAGAAATCATCAGAATAAGTACCTTTGACACTGTTGGAGGCTTGTGTTTAAAAGCTAAAATATAACTGGAAATAGCGTGAAACGGCCATAATTCACATACATTGCTATTGAGAGGGAAGAAGGCATTTCTGTTATAGAAGCTCTCTTTTTTAGCAACTCAATATAATAAAAGTTTTGCTTGTCATGGATAAATATATAAGCTTGATTTATGCATTCAATTGTAACCATAAGGATGTGTAACAGATGGTTCTTTTCTCTGATTCAGAAAAACATCTCTAAATCTTGATCATTTCAAAGTACCTCCCGTTTTACACATTTTTCAAGACGAAGAGAACCTAATTTATGTTCCTAGTTGAACCGGTTCTCTAGTAGATTATCGATTAAGAAATATGTTAAGTTTGTTCTCAAGATTCTACTTAGCTATCAGTATTAGCCTTCATAGAGTTCTCTCGATACCCATCTTCCAATTAAAATTTCGTTCGTTCAAGCTAACGTAAGATCACTTAAAATGTCATAAGTGCTTTACTGAAAAAGAGAAAAAAATCCCATAACCATGCCACATGGTATAATTCGTCATTCTTCATTTCTTCCATTTGTTTAATATCTTTTCAAAGTAATGCCTTCTGAAAAAAAAATCAAGGATTTTCGGGGGGTAGGTGTTTTGGCTCTTTTGAAACCGATATATTCGATGTCACAAATAGTGAAAATTTTGAAAAAAGATGAAAACTGTATCCATCTACATTTCAATTTAAGAATTAGGGTGTGGGTGTGGGTGTGGGGTGAGGGCGTGAGTATCGAGAGCATCAACACCCACACCCACTAGGGAGCTGCAAAGTGGTCCCGGTCCCGGTCCCGGCGGGACCGGGACCGGGACCGGGACCAAATTTTGACTTTTTTGCGGGACCGGGACCGGGACCGGGACCGGGACTAAAAATTTTGCATACTGGTCCCGGTCAGTTTTTTATGCAATGTGTCGCCATTTATTTTATTTTTTTGACAATAGTAATGGCGACTCAGTATAAATAATCAATTCGATAATAAATCCCTTAGCTAGAGCAGTAGATATAAGAGAAGAGAGAAATGAGTAGATGACTACTACGAAGAACATGAGAATTTTTAACAAAATTCAATGGTTATTTTTATTTATTCGAGTTTTCAATGAAATTCTTTCACTTTAACACTGGATATAAAAACAATTCTCGTAATGTTAACGAATCAAAATTATTCATGTCAATTTAATGTATTCATAAAAGTACATAGATCGTTAAAAAATTGTTCGATTTTAGGAATGAAGCCAATGTCAAAGACCGGGACCGGGACCGGGACTGGAAAAAAATTTGACCGGGACCGGGACCGGGACTAAAAAAAAATATATGACCGGGACCGGGACTAAAAAAAGTGATTTTGCAGTTCCCTAACACCCACCCGTCCTGTGAGTATCTCTGTATTCTAAAACAGAATTCAAACAGCGACATTTCAGTCAATAGAAATTCAAGTTCGACAATTTGGCACGTATCAAGCATCGGAAAATTATAACGAAATCTCTGAAAAGAAAAAAAAACAGAAAATTGCGTTTCTGATTGATGGATTTTTTGACTAACGGGAAGTCAGATGAGGGTGGGTGGAGTGTACATGTCCGTGCATTTTTATTATCAATACCTAGACGCAAACCCATTCACGAACCGACACCCAAATCCACAAACTCATCAACATCCACATTCACATCCATACTCACGCCTCGCCACATTGAATCTTCAATAAACACTCCTCGATCCTGAAAACCTATGGCAAAGTTTCATCAGCTTGCGAAAAAAGCCAATGAATTGAAAAGCTACCTTCTCATTGGTCATTCTCTCGACCAATAAAAGCTTCGATTAAAAATCTGACCTTGGATTTGGATTCCTGGAACCGAAAAACCTACAACAAAGTTTAAGCAGAATAGTCGAAAATCCGATGAATAAAAAAGCTCGTTTTTGATCGACTAGGACAGACAAACATGCATACATTTTTTAAATGGAAGATTCTTTCCTACAGAAAAGGGAAAAACTTTTTTCACAAAAATTTCATAGGCTTTGGAAAAAGTTCATCTTTTCTGAAAAAGTCTATTTCGACTTAAAAAGAAGAATTTCGAAAAAAATTGTTTTCTTTGACATCCCACAAACAGATAGGCAGACAGACAAACGCATTTTGTTTCATATGATTCTCCCTACAGTCGAGGGAATACATCGCTATTTTTTGAAAAGAAGTTAAGTTACATCAATATTTTATTTATCAATTTTATTTGTATTTGAAACTTCACAGATGAAATCTTTTAAAAACGATGAACTTGACGATGACTCACGTAGTTCACTTGCCAATGAAGAGAGCGATATGAGTGATTTCGATTTCCACTACGATGAATTAGCAGATGATTTTGATAGACTTCAAGTATTAAGTGAATATTCCAATGAAAATGAAATGGACCTTGATTCTATAAGTGAAATTCATACATATAATGGTTGCTTTACGTCAATTTCTCCCAAAGATGTATCGCCGATTTTAGTGTTCAGGAATATTTTCACGGAAGAAATTTTTAATCGAATTGTCAATCAAACAAACTTTTAAGAGGAATAAAAAGAACAATGGAATAGTCGGAATAATACTAATCGTTGAAACGATATAGAGACGAAAGATATTGAATCGTTTCTTGACATAATCATTGTGATGGCAATTAATAACGTACCGGAGGATGTGGGTATTAGAATAAAGGATTACATGCGCTCACACCCACAATCATCTATTGATGTCTTTAATTAAGATCGAAATGATTCATAATTAGCTTAATTCATACTCTCACCTTACCCTCAGCCTCATGAACATGTCCTATTCTAACAAAATTAATTAACTATTTATTCATTACTATTGTTTCATACGTGATCATTCGATGAAATATGATAATATTCAACAGTATCACTTGTAAAGCAATCATTCAAATGTGATTCTTTTGTCATCATCTCTTTATATTTTCTTCTCAAATAAATTAGCACAAATATTTGTATTTTTTACATTGATTTTTTTGATGAATTAGTTTGAAAATGTTGATCTCTCCTACAGTAGTAATCTTGGTCTTCATCTTTGCCGTTGCAGATAGTCAAGTTCTACTTTACAACACTGAAAATAAAGAATTAGCAGAGGAATTTGACTGCGTCTATTATATACCTTATTATGGAGAGGAAATTTTATATTGTCGACGTTTAAGTGAAAATCAGCTATTCCTTGAACAAAAGGATGAATGTAGCAATCAAGGAGAGAAGCAAATGTTCGGTGATCTGCTTAAAAAAGAAATTCATCCAAGTATCGTCTTCAAATGGAGTTCGAGTGTTGAAATGACAGATTCATATAGCAAAGTCTTCAATAATCGATCATTAATTGATGACAATGAGAACCAATTTGTGTGTAAATGTACACCAGGAACATTTGGCAAATATTGTGAGTATCAGTTGACGCATGAATCAAAAAAGTTTAGTGAAGCTGTTAAAAGACAGTTTGAACAAAAACAAGACACGGATGACGATTCATGGAACACTCAACGATATGGAAAAATTCTCTGCTACGAGACATTGCCTTGTTCTTCAAGCTCTCTCTGCCTTGACTGCCGTGAGATTTGTGACGGCATACAAAGATGTTCAAATGGTGTCGATGAAGAAAATTGTGACAAATTAGAATTCAACGAGTGTGACGATGATGAATTTCGATGTGAAAATGGAATGTGCATCTCACAAGAATTCTGGTTGGATGGTGAGTAATGCCGATTCTAGTAAGAATTCTTTATTCCATTGATCATGTTCACAGGTGATTTCGATTGTATGGATAGAACCGACGAATACTTTGTTGATCGTGGAACAACCTGTCCGTTTCAAGCTAATGCGATGGAATGTGATGAAAATTTATGTTCAACTGGTTTATACTCATGCGGTGATGGGCAGTGCATAGCATGGGAAACTCGAATGGCATTCCAACGATTGGGCAAAGTACAAAAAGACTGTTTTAATAAACGTAATATAAATTATATGTGCGAGTTGAGCCAACATCGACCAACTTGGACAAACGAAAATGGACTATATTGGCCAGATAAAAATTATGATGATCCTCGATATCCTCCTTGGAATATGATTAATGCATCAAATCTTACCATCGACGAAATATGCCAGTATCTCTTTCGATGTGCTTTGACGAAAGGATTTGAGCATGATTGTCCATGTAATCATCAAAATTGTACACTAATGATGCTGAGTGTATGTCAAAGAGCTGATCGTCTCATTTTCTATCCGCCATACGAATTAATTAGTTCAAACCTTTTTATCATGTACAACTATACTCGCTCTATAGAAAATCCAATGCCTCAATCTTTTCTACTTGCTGGAAACCTAAAATGCCGAGGATTCTTTTTTCAGGCAACACGCTTTTTTTCACTACAGATAGATATGTCACCGATCTCTTACCCATTCGTGAATCATGTACTCTGCGCAGGCTTTGCTTCCAATTATGGATATAAAAACTTTACATCTTCTCATCAAAATGACCGATTCTGTTGGAATGACTCACAAACATTCAATGGTCGCCCATACACTGTCTATACCGACATATGTACTGAGGAAGGAGAGTGTATATCAAATTATAGAATACGTGATGGAGATTTTAATTGCATGGATGGTGACGATGAGCTGAGACAACTTGACAAGACTTATTGTACGGGTAATGTAGGACGACATCGTTTTCAGTGTTTTAATAATGAACATAAATGTCTTCCATTACGAAAGTTGGGCTCAGGCATGAGTGACTGCTCGAATGGTTATGATGAAAATTGGTTCGGTATTGGTACTACTCTTCGATATCAGCTTCCATGTTTTAAATGGATCACGACTGATTGTCCTCGTGTGATGGAATACATTCATCAATCATCATCGAAGAATTCGATCAATAGTAGTCTGTTCATTGATCATCAACAACAAGAATCAACATATCGCATGCCGTTTCGATATTATTGTAATACTTTCTGGTATTCAGATCAATACATAGACGAGACACCTTCTTCGTGCAAATATTGGATATGTCAGCATAGTCAATATCAATGTCGAACGGGGCAGTGCATTCCAGTTGAATGGGTTTGTGACGGTGAATGGGATTGGTCAGATGCATCTGATGAAGAAGCTTTTGTATTAATTGAAAATTCGTCATTTCACAATAGAAATTTGAAAGATTTATCTTTACAGTTAGAAAAATGTCGCAAACGATATTCGACTGCAACATTTTCGAAAATCTGCAATATATCTTTGGAGTTTGGTTGTTATCTATCTGGTGTTTCAAATCCTTTAGACATTCAATTGGATCGTCCATGCATTAATCTTACTTAAATTGGTGATGGTGTAGAAAATTGTTATAATGCTTACGATGAAAAAAATACATTTATATCAAATTTGAGAGGAGGACGCATGTGGGGTTTTCATTTTCGTTGCAATAATGAAGATATGACCTACCAAGATGTTTGTATACAGGGCCGTAACTGCAGCCAGATTGATTGCTTAAATGATCAAAATAATAATAGATAATGCTCTGGCAAGGAAGATTTCCTTTGTCTCCATGATAATCGTTGCAGGAAGAATGTGCGATGCAATGGAAGTCCTGACTGTTTTCATGGAGAAGATGAATATTGGTGCCCATCTGGTTTTCTTATAGATGTAACAGGATATCGTATAAGCAAGAAGCAAATATCATTGCAACGCGATGAAATTCTTTCTCAAATATTCAATCCCTCTGAAACCACATTAAACATCAGTCGACATCAATTATCAGAGTTTATTAACAGTCGTAAAAACTATGAATATTTCAAAGTTCATTAATATCAATGTAATCGAGGTATCGCTGTTATTCATATAAATGAAACACGATGTTTATGCCCACCTACTTATTATGGTGACTGGTGTCAATACTTCAATGATCGAATCAGTATCATTTCACGTATCGAGCACGGAACACAGTCAAAGACAATATCAGATCGTGTATTCAAAATTAAAGCCAATTTTCTTTTTAAACATAGAATCATTTATCATCATGAATTCCATGTTGTCCCAATGCTAGAAAGAAACTATTTCATCAAGCATAAATTTTATCTAGTTTATTCACGTTCTTCGGAAATGCTTGTGCATAAGCAAAAGCGTTATTTCAATCGAAGCGATGTAATTTATGATCATCCATATTCAATTCACTTTGATGTTTTTGCGTTGAAAGGTGATAACAATTTCGAAGAAATTGGGTCATGGCATTATCCCATTTATTTCGACTATCTACCTGCATTTCGTTTATTCGTGGTATTAAAATTTCCATCTTGGTTTGGAAATTTAACTCTTAATCCTTGTTCGAAAACTAGTTGCAACAAGAACTCTATTTGTCTTCCAGTTTTCAATCATAACAATTCTTATTATTGTTCGTGCAAAAGTGGTTACTATGGAATAAATTGTAGTATGTACGAACCTATTTGTGAGACATATTGTTCAGCAAACGCACTCTGTCGGCCCGATGATTTCAATCTAGGAACAAGAAAAAGTAGCCCTTATTGCATTTGTCCATTAGATCATTTTGGATTACGTTGCAATTTGAAATATGAAGATTGTACTTCGAATCCATGTTTGAACAATGGAACTTGTTTCTCTAATTATGATCGAAGTGGTGAAAATCCTTATCTGTGCAGATGTTCATCGAAATTCGATGGATACAACTGCGAAAATGAGAAAGTAACTGCTCATATTTATTTGAACATGACAACAATGTTACATATTCGTGCTGTTGTCGTTCAGTTTTACGACTATGACCATCGTAATTTGATGCTTGACATTTTGGATCAGCAGATCTATACCGAGTTACCGTCGTCAATCATATCCTACCGTTCTAATGTCGATGCACCTTCACCTGGAATTCTCAAACTCTATGAAGATCTATCACATCCGCAATATTTTCTCATATTTTTCTTGGATCAGCAGCAGAAAATCAATATAACTTCATCGCCACAGCATTGTCCGCATGCTGCACTTTTACTACCAGAAGGTTTGCATTTTTATCGATAATAATAATATTTACGTAAATCGAATTTTAGTTTCAGAAATCGATCCATTTGTCCCATCCGTTTTCAAATATGATCATATCTGTCGAAATAAGAATTTAAGTTTCTGTTTTTATGATGAAAACTATTTTTGTATTTGTCAACATGATCGTTACCGTGCTGAATGCTTTATCAAAAATATTGAACATGACCGTTGTCACCAATGTTTTTTAGGAGGAACATGTCTACAAGGCGATTTAGAAAATCCCAAAGATTTCATTTGTCATTGTCTACCTTGTTATCAAGGACATCGATGTGAATTTAGTTTGCAAGCATTTGGTTTTACTCTCGATTCACTTCTTGTTAGCTATTCGAAAAAATTGAAGATTGTCTATGTCGTTATAGTTGGCCTTCTTTTCATCATCGGGTTATTTAATAATTTCTGTTCATTCATCACATTTAAACGGCCTACACCGCGTAAGTTTGGCGTCGGTTATTATTTGTTAACTGCAAGTTGTCTCAATCAAATTGCTTTGTCCTGTCTGGTTTTCAGATTCATTCAAGTTACTCTTGGATTTATTGATGTTGGATCATGTAAAGTAATTTCCTATCTTCTTTCGGTCATGACACGATCAACTTACTGGTTGATCAGTTGGATAACCATTGACCGTCTTCTAATCATTCTCTTTCCAACTTCATCTGCTCTAAAAAACCCTTGGTTAGCTACTGTAGTTAGTACTTTCACATTGGTTATCTTGTTGGGTATGCATGTACATGAAATTATCTATAATACAGTTATCCAACATTTCTCCACTAATTCATCAATTTGTGTAACAAATTTTGATACAAATCTGATCTCTGTTTACAATCGAATCGCTACTTTCATTCATTATCTTTTCCCATTTTTCATCCAAATAATTTGCATTACTGCTTTGCTTATTTTGGCTGCACGCAGTCGAGCGAAGACGACGGGACATAAAATGAACTTTGGCGAAGCGCTAATGAGACAATTTAAAGCTAAAAAAGAACTCTATGTTACACCAACAATCATTGTTCTTTCTGCCCTTCCTCAAGCTATTCTTGCATTCTGTTTGGCATGCATTCCATTGAGTGATTGGCAAAATCATATACTACTTCGAGCTTATTTGTTTTCTTATGCTCCACAAGTTCTGAGCTTTATTCTCTATGTTCTACCATCAACGAATTACAAGAAAGAGTTTTATAGAACATTCATTGGGAGGAATTCTTTGAAGTGCTTATCGAGCAATGTTACGGGTGAAAATACTACTTCGAAGACATATGCGTTTAAGTCAATATAATGCGAATTATTTAAAACTATGGCTTTTCTGCTTAATGTTTCTTTCAGATCAAAACTAATCCGTCGTGTCTGCATGCTGAACTAAAAAAGTTAATTAGTATAGCTTTTTTCATGTAGAAAATGTGAATCGGTTATCATCACAAGGAGAATCTTTCTTATTCTGTATTTCCAACAGAGGCTGTGGGTGTGGGTGCGGAAATAAATCCAACACCCACACCCACACCCACATCCTTCTTTCTTCTTTTCTTCTTACTTTTCTTCCTGCTCTTTCTTCATCGTTTTTTGCGTATTTTTTGCTGATTCTATCTATTACATAAATTTATGTCTATATACACGTGCACATAACAAATCTAAACACGTGACGTAATTTAGTAAATGCTACAGCTGACACTGACAATCAGTTGGGTCGTACACAACTGGTCATTACAATTTTATCATGATTGTTTATACACTGAAAATATTAAAAAATCGATCTCAAAAATTTATGCATTTAGTCTTGTCAATGTTATTTTACCACCAGTTATAGCTAGAGAGCTGAAACTTTCAGAAATAAAAGATCTTGATTAGATGTATATATAGTAAAAATTTCAGCCCTCTAAGTTAAGTGAAAGTATGAAAAATATGAACAACAAATTATCGTCAGTTATTATGAAACACCCTTTATTTATTTGTTTATTTACCAAATTCATTTTCTTTATTTGATTAACTTGAAAATTTTTTTGAGATATTTCTTAAAATGTTGACGAATATTTTTCAAATGTTTTCAAATGTTAAAGTTCGTTAATTAAACCAAAACTAATAAATGAAATCATTTTATATATTATATTTATTCATATTTATAATAGTATTAATTTATCGAATTTAATATCAATTAAATAATTATTCAACGAATAGAAATATATCTTATTATTAAATTATCTTCAGTTTATGAACTTCATTCAGATTTTAGATTAATATCGTCACTCGAAGTTTAACAGTGACTTTTTATGGTTTTACAACATTCCTATACGTGCGAGACAATATCAATCGAGAATAAAATACATAAGATTTTCTAGAGTTTTTTCTGTAAATAAAAATTGATCTTAGTTTATATAAGAGGACATTAAATATCATGTTTTAGACAAAGACAATATGACAAAAAAATTGTAACTTATTTTTATTGAATTGATTTGATATATTAATAAAATAATATATATTCTTTTCGTTAATATGAAGATTTTCTTCGACGAAATTAAATCAGAATCAATTTCTAACGAGTAAATATAAATATAACTATTCAATTCAAAAAAAAAGAATTTCTTTTTTGTTTTCTTAATACATATTTTTGTTAAATTAAGTTAAATAAGTAAGAATAAATAATCTTTTTTGTTTTTTTTTTATTTTTTTAAAATAAAATATAAAAAGCTCGAATATAAAAATAAAATCTAACGCTTGAATAAAATAAAAGAGGAATTAATTTTGAAAAGTAACTATTCTTCCAAATGTTTTATTTGTTCCCCAAATACCTTTTCGAAGACACGCTAATTGAACAATTTGACTATGATCAATAAATAAATTTGTATCTGCACCCAAATTTTCAATATAATATGAAAATACTTTTGGATCAGCTGCTTCAAACCTATTTTATTATATAAAAGAATAAATTTTGTTCTTTCCAAATTATTATAAAAGAATAATAAGTAATACAAACATTATTTTATCTTTAGGTAAATTTGATGTTATTTCTGAAATAACATCTTTTCTCCATGATTTAACATTTTCCGTAATACCTTCAGATTCAATCATTATCATCTAAATATTATCAATATTTAATATTAAGAAAAGGAAAACAAAACGATTGAATAGTACATACATGAGCACCAACATCAATAAATTTGTTTGCACGTTCAAATAACCATCCCGGATGACGTGTACCAGCATTTTCAAGTTCTTGAATAGATGCATCACCACCTGCACCCCATTGAATACCAACTTCTGCCTTTGATTTAAAACCAAAAGAATTAACTAATTTAATAAGTTCAGACCAATCATCAATTGGAATACTAAGAAAACCTGAACTGATTTCTATTACATCAAAACTAAACAATTTTATTGTCAATACAATTGTTTGTTTTTTTGTTTTTTTTTTGTTATTGAATTATTTACCCTAAATCTTTACACGTTTTTAAATATTTTTTAATAATTTGTTTATGACCAGCTGATGAAGCTAAAATTCTTTCAATAAATCCACCTGTACAAAGATAACATTGATATTTATGTGCTATATCAATTATATCACGTAAACATTTTTCAGGCATTAATGAAAATGAACCACCAGCAAATCTATTTAATAGAAATTTATTTTTATATATTCAATTTAGATAATAAAATTAATTACTCAATTAATATGACTTAAAGATTAGAAATATTTATTAATTGAAACAATTAATTAACAACATAACAAGAAACATAAGTTTATTTTTATTTTGTTCTTATTTAATTTAATTTAATTTCGATGATTTAAAATAAATTATCGAAAAAGTGATATATTTGAATAAATATAATTAACTTATAGATAATTAAATCTATTTACATTTATATATAAACAATTGATTGAATTCATATTTTATTATTAATTAATATTATTTTAATTTATTTTAAAATGAAAAACAAAATTTTTTTATTATTTAAAAATTATATTCGAATATATTTCATAACTCTATAAAAGATAATTGAAAAATAAAAATTTATATCTGATTAAAATAGTTTCCTTTTTCATTTATTATTATTTATTCTTCGAAGAACAACATTTTTCTATATAGATTTCTTATTTAAACCTGTTATTAGATTAGTTTTTAACATAATATAATACTTTTTTATGATGAACAATAATCTATTCTAACATTTATTTATATTTCAACTAAATATTAACTATTATTTAATTGTAAATATATCAAAGAATATAAATTAATTTAAAATAAATCATACTTAATTCCATCAACATATTCTCCCCAATCTTCAAGTAATTCATTGAGATAAGTTTTTGTAACTGGTTTAGAATAAGATGCCCGAATTTCTGTTAAACCATTTTTTCGATTTTTTTTCGATTTTAATTTATTTGTTGGTAAATAATCAAAAGGTGTTGATTGTTCAACAATAGAACTTAATGATCGAATAAAATTCAACAAATTAAATTTACCATTTATAAGAAATCGACTCTTTAACATTTCTATATATTATTAAATAAATCAACTTTTTACTTTTTTACTTATTTATCGTATTATATTCATTATATATATATATATATATTATCTATTAACAAATAAAAAGAAACTTTTATTTGGACAAACTTCAATATTAATATGATTATTGATGATTGATTAATATTTGTATCAAATGAAAATTTTTGAACAGATTTCGCTTTATATTAATTATCTTATTTTTAGCTTTTCATTTAATATAAAATAAAATAACGAAATAATAATGCTAATCAGTATGTTTAATCAAAGAATTTATTGTTGTAGAACGATTATAATAGTAGCATAAGTTAATATATTCAAGATGATCAAGACTACATGGATGATGTCGAAGAGAGTAACAGACTGGGATACTTTCACATCTTTTATGTCATTCTAGACCTATATATATATGGTTTGTCTAATAACTGATATCAGTATGGATCAATACTGAAATTATTTTTTTTCGAGAAAGTGAAATAGATAGAAGAGAAAAATATTCATCCTAAACGATGTTTATATTAGTTAATATGTGAAAATTTTCAACTAAAAAATATATGATCACTTCTTTATTCATATGTTTTTCATCGTATTGATGTTTATCTTCAGGAAAATTTTTGAGAAACGCAACTCAACTGTGACAAGTCTGGCTCTCTTTATTCTAGATCTTCAGTCATATCCTTATATATTCGAGTACTCTTTTAAATGATAAAATAATTAGAATATTTCACTTGTTTTACATATAATAGATCTTCTTCAATAAAACAAATTGTTTAAAGTCTATCTTTATAGAATTATTTCTATAAAATATATTTTGTTTTATTTTATTTGTTTTAAGTTTATTTCTTGTTTTATTCAGATCTATGATTTAAAAAAAAAAAACGATTATTATAAAATAATAAAATGCAAATCAACTTTGAAAATCTTTAAATGAATAATAATAATTAGTTCATATAATATTGTTCAATAGTAAATTATTTAACATATTAATTGATCAAAGTTAAATAAAGGTTAACTGTCGATAATTCTATCATTTATATGACACAAACATTCAATTAAAATAACAGATTTGTTTTTTATCCAAAAGAAAAGGATGGATGTGGATCTAAGATAGATTAGAAGATATGCAGACCCTACTCGCACACCTTCACACCCACACCCACATCCTCAATGTTCTCTAATAAAAACAAAGAAAACAAAAACAAAAACAAATCATTTATTTAATATAACTATAAATGATATTAATTGTGTTTTCTTAAATTCTATTTTCGATTTTAACGATTGTGTTCACTTTTTAAAAATAATCAATAACTATTGAAATAATCATCAACAATACCAACAACAAGTTTATCAATTAAATATTCGTTAAAGATTTGAAAATTCTATATATATATATATATAAAATAAGAAATTTAATCGAAGTAATGATGAAATTTTGTTTTGCATATTCGTCTGTAAAAGTAAAAGTATTCTTGATCATGTTAATGTTAATTGTAAAGCTAATATTATTTTATTTTGACAATTAATAGTCGTGATTATTCAGAAACTGTTTACGTTCAATTTGTATTGATTCAATGATTATTTAATTTTGAATGAGAAAATAAACAATTGAAGTAAAATGAGTAGTATTGTTTCGTTTAATTTATTCATCTATTATTATTTTTATAGTTAACATAAGTTAAAGTAACAAACAATAATAGTTTATTCTGATATTATTTCATTAATCTTCATTATACACGTTTGTCTGATCGATTTTATTAATTGCCTTTTATATAATTGATGCTCAACTAGAACAATTCTTATATAAACATTGACTTTTTTATTTTGATTTTTCATTAAGAAAAATGAAAATTGTTTTATTTTAAAATATATATGTAGTATAATCAAATATTAAATCTGAATTGATGAACTTTTATTTGAGATAAAATAGTGATAGAAGAATAATTTGTTTAGTATGTTTATTAAATATAATTGTCAATAAAAACAAAGTGAAATAAATATGATTTTCAAGAGAATAATTATTCGTTTTCTAATGTCTATTTCAGAGTTAAATATCCGTGAACATTTTCTTTGAATAACTTTTGATACGAGCAAGATTGAGATCTGCCGTTTTCACCTTTGGAAAAAGCAGATGAAGATGCATCGAATTCTATATAGAAACATTTTTTCTAACTACTTTCATAAAAGTTTAGTCAAACGTTTTCAAAGAATTGATTTTTTATTCGAGATTAATAAAATGGTTTTTCTATCAAAATACAATATAATATTTATATTTTTCGATTATTTTCTTGAAAAAAAATGAGATGATAAATTGTGTTCCGATGGTTTTAATATCATAATGGTAAGTAGTTAGGAACAGAGTCTTTATATAGTTTTGTAGACCTTCGTTTGATGATTCTCTCACACTCCTGAAAAATCAATAAATTAATATTGTGACCATGAGAAACATACTCTTTTTATTTAACTTTTATGTAAAATCTATTGAAAAGTAGATAGAAAAATCTTTCTATATATTATTCAATGTGTCTTCATTTGCTCTTTCCAACAGTGAAAATCGTAGATCTCGATCTCCATCTCGTTCTTATCAATATTTATTGAAAACCTAACCACTTCCATTTAACTCTGAAATGGACATTATTAATAGATAATATCGCATTTCAACTTGAAAAGTATTTCAAAGTATTTTCATATACTTAAGACAAATTACTTAAACGTGCTTTTGAAGTTTGTTCAATTCATTTGATATAACTTGTCTATAGTTTTATCCTCTTGTTCATGCTTTAATATAGTTCGAGGTAATTTTAAATTTGAAATACGCTATATAATATATCTCTAGTTGTTAGTTTTAAATAAAGAGAAGCTAATATTTTTATGCATACGTTATATCCTGTAATGATATTGAAAAGAATAATTGTTCAGTATGACAATAATGTCAGTATTTTAGCTTCTGTTATCCATTGGTGTAGATCGTTTTACAAATTGATGTGTTTGAGGTTGTGAATGACAATGCGTATTGTTAATAAAAACAAATTGATGAAGATAAGACATTAGAACTGATATAGATAATCTAACATAAAGAATGATTTAAAACAATTTTTAATAAAATGTCGTTTGTGATCATAGAACATTTGGAAAAAAGCTTTTGTTAAATATAAAATAAGATAGAACATTTAATAGGATAACATGTAATTGATCATATTCACAAAATATAAGCAGTTAAATAATAAAATCATATGTTTTTATCATAGAAAAATGTCAAAAAATATAAATTAATGATAGGAAATTGTTTTATTTTATAGGGATAGAAATGAGAAAAATTTCTATGAATATAATCTTATAGAATGTTTTTAATGATGGTGGACTAAGAAATAACATTGTTAAGTTGAACAAGACGATTTGCCTAAGTATATAACGAGACGGGGATTTGGAGTTCTTTTTATATTTGCGGAGTTGTTGAAAATTTCTATAAGATAAATCAAACCTGAAAAACAAAAAACAAAAAATTTTGCCAATCTATATTATTGTTGTTATTGTTTCTGTTTTGCTACGACAGTTTTGTTCGATAAGAATACTGTTAACAATAACCAATTGAACGAATAGATAAATTTCGATAAATGTTTAAAAATGCTTCAACATCATTCGAATAAAGAATAGTTAACATTTCTAAACGAATTTAACATTAAACATAAAAAGATTTTAGAACGTTAGTTGGGTCATTTTATTATTTTATCTTTATCAGACTTTTTCCAATTTTTAAAATGAAAATTTATCGTACAATTAGAAAAGTTATCGATTTGTTTTCTTTTTTTTTTTTCGTGTGTGTTAAACTTTGAATGATAGAATTATTTAAACTACTAGAAAATCTTATCTGAAAAGTAAATCTATAATATAAATTAGTATTTAATTATTCTATAATAAATTGTTAATAGAACTCTTGAATATAAATCTCAATGTATAAATATATTATTATCAGTGATATTAGAGAATAGTTTTATTTTAGATTTTACAATGAGAAGTTTTTTCAAGCTATGAAAAAATTCTATATGATTCAAAGTTTTATTTGCTTTTTATTGATAGAAAAATTCTCGATTTAGTGACTCATTCGACGAAAAAAAAAGTTCACTTACTGGACGCAATCTATCAATCGATCGATTGTTGTGGGATAGATATATATACTCTACACTAATATTTTCTCTTGATATTTAATTATTTTCATTAGATAACTCTTGTTAAAAGACTAAGCTATTACAAGAGTCTAGACTAAATCAACGATATTGGACTTAAAATAAAAATATGTTTACAAATTACTTGATATAAAACACGTAACTATTATTTCACATTATATTTGACCAGACATTAATATCAATTAAAAATGTTCGAAATTTTACTAATGTGAGATAGATGTCAATGTTCAATGATGATTTGAATATTGTTGTTGATGTATATGTCGTCTATCAGTGTTATTATCGAATTGAGATTTTTATGCATGAACTAAATAGAATTCGTCAGATTCCCACAACATATTCTCATATTTCTGTAATGATTTGAAATAAGTACATTATTTAGAATTGATTGAATTTATTTTCAGATCTTTTATAGATATGTTTAATGTTGTCTAGATTTATTCAATTATTTTTCTTCCTTCAATGACTTAATTCCGAAGATTCTTTTTATTGTTTGACTATGTTTTACTCGTTAATTTTCTTGAGTTATGTTAGCTTTGACTATGATTTAAATTCTGTTTATCTATATCTGATAAATCGTTATATTTTAATAATGTTTGAATCCCGAGATTCTGATCAATTAACAATTGACAGAAGACAAACATGTATCGAAAAAACTTTCAAAATATCAATGTAATTAGTCAAGTTTTATAAATGAAAGAATAAGTGACAGAAGTAACAAGCAACAAAAGTCAATCAAGCATGACATTTATGTACACAGATGTATAAAATGAAGCTTTCTTTCTTTCTCTTTCTAGTTTATCAATA